ACACACACACACACACACACACACACACACACACACACACACACACACACACACACACACATGCACACACACACACACACACACACACACACACGCACACACACACACACACAGTTTACCTGCACATGTTGATGAAAGACACATCAAGAGGTGCGAGTGCAGCTGTGAAGAAATACCCCGCACACCAAGTGGGGAGCCTTCGAGCACGTCTGTCACACAAAAACCCTAAAGGTCTGGGCCAGTCTGAATGTTCTCCGTGGACATGTACTACATACAAGCTCGCTACTAGGGAAAAGGTACTGCCAACAGACTGTTTATCCAAGGCCCAGAGCTGTCCTGCCCGGATGCCTCTCGGGAGAACCGCAAATTTGATTCATCAGGCGATAATGCCGGACAAGATGTGCGTGCTGAAGAGATACATCGGTCCTGTCTGTATACGAACACGTCCCTCTCTTGAGTCATCCAAAGAAGATTAGTGTACGCCACCAGGCAAATGAAGTGTTACTGGAACTCAGTTTGAACACTATCTCTGCACTCGGCAAAACATACCTGATACTACCCAATAGTGGATTACAGGCAACCCTCAAGAGGAAAGGCAAATGCTATGCCCCTCAAGAGGAAAGGCAAATGCTATGCTTAAGCATTAGTACACAGCCATCAGAACCTTGCCTATCGGTATTTACGAAGTTGGTACCATCCACCACAAAAGACATCTCACAGACACTAACCTTCGCTCCTTAAACTGGCTTCGAGCTTTCACCATGTACTCGACCCGGCTCCGTGAGTGTCTCTCCACCTGAGCTTCAACCCATATCAATGGGCGGACCTGTACCACACCCAGCCATGGGTTGAAACACATGAATTCTGAATACTAACCAGGGTTGGAATCAGCGGCAAAGAGTTACAAAAAACAGCCAATGTTATCGCTCTGGCCAATGTAAAGGAATAGACAATGAACAGTCATAGGGCATGTACACACAGGAAAAGAGCTCAGCCAACAGAAAACCTACCCATCCTTTAATCAGCACACACAGGAGGATAAGGCGATAACAAGGACTGACTCATGTAGGCAGTCATTCTTTCACCAGAGCAGCAGACTTGACGACATAAACAAAAGCTAACCACATATGAACAAAAGCTAACCACATATGAACAAAAGCTAACCACATATGCTGTAGACGAATCGCTGACAATAACACACCGCTGATTAGTATACACGCGGTAAAGGGAACAATCATAGGCACAGATCCAAGAGGGGAGACTCAGGACAAACCAGAGGTCAATAATGGGCTCAACACGTGCTCCAGGGAATGACAGACCTCACACCGGACGCTTAAACCACCAGTACTTCCTAATGTCGTGCCCATTAACAAGCCACGATTTTAGGAAACGTACCGGCCACTACAGGAGCACCCAAATTCATCCAACTAGAAACGTTTCTACTCTATATTCTTTTCCGCGGCCGATAGCTGGGCCAAGCACTGGTGGTTTAAGGTTGATGTGTTAAACCACAAGTAGAACCCGGCCCCAGCCTTGCAGTCCGAAACTTGTCACCACAAGAAAACGAGGCCGAAACATCAAACGCTGTCCCTGCCGTTCATAAACTGGATCGGCGGTCACATTTTCGTTTCGCTCTTCCCCAGAATTTGAGGTGTCAGGCCCGCAGCCCAGGTGCTCATGGACTGGTGCTTTTGTTATAGCAACCGAGCTCCCGTCAAGACATGCTTTAATAATCGTAACCGAGCTCCCATCAAGACAGCGATCGACGATGGCAAAACTGTGCCAAGTACAGGTGACAAGAGGCAGGGCTTTTAGCAAGAGAAGATAACCGCAAGAGGAGACGGAATATCATATCAGATGAGGAGATGGACATTCTCTGCCGGAGTGTTTTAGCGCAGCATGAAACGGTCACATCTGTGCCAGAGTTTTTTCAGTGCAGCGTGAAACGGTCACATCTGTTGACCTTTCCACCCAAAGACTTGTGAAGTTGGACTGTCACGACGGCCAGTTGAATTTCGTCAGTTTGTTAGTTGGGCAGAGGCACAAACGACAAAACATATGGCAATGTATCTTTCCATGTTCTTCACTCCAGTACTCTCCAGATGCACAAAGCCAAAAAGTTATCGCAATGTATCTGTCCCATAGCTGCGGCGCCTCGCTATGCTCCGCAAACCCTTTAAATGGGGATCCATGAAAAAAATTCGGAGGGTCAGGGTGCTGTGGCACTCCTCGGCCCTCCCTTGAGGAAAACCGAGCAGCCAAGAGAAGAAATAATTTGGGGGCCGTGCATGACAGCACCCCCAAAACAAAGATGATGTCACATGTTCCGCCCCCCCCCCCCCGAAAAAAAAAATGTATTGTGTCCAGAATCCCAAAGGTTTCTTACCTGTCTTCCAGGTCGGATGCAGTCATGATGAGTGTGGGTGGCACTTGCATAAACCCTACGTCTGACACCTTCATCCTGGATTATTGGACCTGAACCAGCTCACTGTCAGAGGTAGACAGAGACGGGGAACGGCCACTTCAGGGCGACATGGCCGTTACCCCCTCTCTCTGAATGCACTCAACGCAATTTGGAGGTTGGATACAGTCCCGCGTAGGACCTTACAGAAAAGCAGCTAACGTTTTCTTTTTGTTTTCTGTTTTGTTGTGTTTTCACGCGTGCCAGAAGTTCTCCCCAGTTGGGAATGCTTTAACGCCTCGATCCACTACTCACCACTTGCACAAAAAAACAAAAATGATTGTGGTGTATCTGCCCATTCTTCTAGTGGAAGACTCGTTCTCAGTTTGCACATTTGGCAAGTAGTGGATGGAGCTACGTCATGATGAGTACGAGAGAATCGTATGCAGTCTGACACACGCCCTCGCTCCAGTACTCACCAAATGTGCATAATGAGAATGAAACTTCCGCTAGAACATGGAAAGACACACCACCATATTTTTGTCTTCTGTGCATGTGGTGAGGCCCACGGTCTTGTCTTTTCTTCTTTGCTTTGTGTCTTCTTCTTTTTCTTGTTTTTCCTTTACAGTTGACGGAAAACACAAAGTCCATCCCCCCAGCCACACGCAACCAAAATTCGCAGCTGACTCAACAGGACAGACAACACCAAAAAAAGGGAAAACCGCGCTGGGCAGTCGCACCCCCCGCGCACTGCAGCAAGACATGCTGGGCACGAAAGCAAGATGCAAATAAGTGGGCGTCCGGTCTGGGCACACACTGACCAAGCACGCATCACGCCACGCTCACCGCACCACACAGGTGCACTGCAGGTATGATGTTCTGTCCATGTTCTAGCGGAGGATTCAGTATCATTTTGCACATTTGGAGCGTAGTGGATCTTCCCTACCTTAGGGCCTCGCTCCACTACTCTTGACATGCCCAAAAGACAAAAAAAAATGACAATGTAACACTCCAGATTTTAGCAGAGGATTCAGTCTCATTTCGAGAGTGGTGGAGCAAGGCCCATAGTCATGGGGCCAGAGTGAATCCTCCGCTAGAACGTGGAAAGATACATTGCAATGAGACTAAGGGCCCAGAGTGGGTCCTCCGCTAGAACAAGGAAAGATACACTGCCATATTTTTTTATCGTTTGTTCATGTGGACAGTAGTGGAAACGCCGATGGTAATGCCCCAAGTGGGTGTTTTCGGCCTCGCTCATCTACTCACCACATGCACAAACGACATCCCCCGCTCTCATCTGGCAGCATCTGGATTTGAACACGGGTGTCTATTTCCACAGTCGCTGGGTGTACCGACGCATGGCTCACTTGAACTCGGGTATATATTTCAACAGTCGACGGGAGCACACAGCAGAGGACGGGGAGGTGCCCAAAGAGGAGGCGGATGCAGGAGTAAGACAAGAGGGGGCGGCAGACAACGCCAAGCGGGGCAAGGGGGAGGAGGAGGAGAAGGTGTCCACCGCGCGCGAAGCCGAGGCGGGCGTTCGCTTGTTTGATTTTAAAGACCAAACAAATATCAGTCACTATCTCTTGGGTGTGCTTGACGATACCCAGCCTCATCATGCTGTTTTTAGAGTCGACAGTGGGCACCAAACTGGGGCGACAATCCCACAATATGATCGATGCATGGCTGTAAATTACCCACGGCGTTTTTTTTTTCACTAAAGAGCTTTTGAGTAGACAACCACCAGACTCCAGGCGCAACGAGTAAGCAACATGTGGCACCATAGCGTAAATGGTTCACTTGCTTTTCATTCGAAAGTAGCAAAGCTGAAATTACGCCATTCCGAACTGAAGAGAATGTGGACAAGGGGCCAAAGCAGCAGCTTGTTTGTTCCCAAAGCAGCAGTCTGGTAGAGGAACATTGCACGTTTTATGATGCCAGAAAAGAAGGAAGCCGCACCCATGCAAACAATGCAGATGCATTTGGAGAACAGCACCTGCGTGCTGAGCCGATACGTCATCAGGTCAAAGGCTCCATCTGGAGGTATGAAGGAAATCGTCCTGTCGTTCTCAAACCTCGCCAACCGCACACACCTGCAAGACGTGATAATGACAAACAAAATAAGAATAGAATACTCAGTCAGGCCACACATGAAACCATGTACGTCCATTCTCCAACTTGCACGCAAAATAGAGGCAGATTCATGTAGCTATGCTGCAGAGAACTGACCGAAGTTTCATGCTTGCAGATAAAATAGAGCCAGATTAAAGCAGCTATGATGCTGGCAACGGAGGTTGTCATCATCAAAATGCAAGAGACGGGGGACCCGACAGTTCAAACAGGCATCAGTCAGTACAACCATGACCTATTAAAATGCAGACCTGCGTTGGAATCCAGATACTATGTTTAAGGGAGGAGATTGACAAGACATTTGGGCTTTCGACTGACAGTTCATCCTTACAGAGTGTGAAAACTTTCTTCAGGGACGCCGGACCCAATTTCCAGCAGGTGCTACTCTCCACCCATAGAAGGAGCCCTGTTTCCCGGAAAACGGAAAACAAAACAGACACAGCGGAATGAACAGAATGAAAGCATTCTGAATTACCAGGGTTCGGTCACTTCAATGATGACATAACTCAATGCCGTTGCCCTTCTGGAAAAAAGAAAAGGCAAAAACGTCGAAACAGGCATGTAATGTACAAAGCAAATCCACAGTTCTAACAGAAAACAACGCAGGCATCGCGGCACCATGAACGTTGCGAACAATAATGGTGCTCCTGATCTCTTAGAAAACCTGCTGGAAACGGAACACAGCCACCTACGAAGTTACAAATAAGAGATTCAAAGAAGGTTAGCAGAGAACAATCTGTCAAACAGCAATACTCACTGGTGGAACTTGATGTCGTCTAGATCTATTGCCTTGCCCTTGGTCGAACGACCTTGCGCTTCTAGTAATACCCTGTCATTCAATCCAAGCTTGCATTCTGGCATACCACTGCATAAGCAAAACAATCACGGCGAAAGGGAAGGAAACATTGAAGATCAGCAGACATGACACTCTTGAAAGTTGCCCCTTAACTTCCCATCTACCAGACGCCTCCCCTTCTCACTAACCACTGAACAACATCAAGCGACACGCCTCATAATTCTGATTCTAAATCTCCAGGTACTACCGTCTTCACCCAAATATCATGCCTGGTCATTATCTCCGCATCTGGACTGGAAGTTGTGCCAAATACAGCTGTAATGCCAGAAGTTCTATTCGGGTGAAGACAGTAGATGGAGATAGTACTAAGCAACGGCTTGTTGGGATTGCCTCAGGCATATAACTAAAGGACGATGACAAATCTTGATGATGGGGGAGAGAGATGGTGGCAAGCTGGAGGATATGATATTGGTTCCAGCTTGTGTTAATCTTCTTCTTCCTCCCAATCTCTTTCGTTGCAAATGAACGGTGTCGTCTCTTTTTTTAATTTCGCACTGTGAGATTTCGGGGATCATAACAATACCCAAAAAGTGGCACATAGGAATGGAACTACACATGCCCAGTTACAAAAGAGAACAATAGCCCACACCGTGGCTCACGTCAATTGATCTCCACCTACATGCCTGTTCACAAGAGCAGCACGAGCAGCACGGTATGCTCGACAAACACAGTGGCACAATCAGTCAACAGGTCAGACACACATGGGCAGCAAGAGCTGCAGCATCTTGATTGAGCCAGACCACCATCATGATCAATGCAAGACCGATGGCACTCCGTCTGGGAGGCGATCCAGGATAATCACATCCGTTGGATGCTGACAGAAATTGTTGCCAGCGAAGGGTTGGAGTATCACAGGGCGGAAAACCAAGACTACAATCACAGGTATGCTTCTCGATGCTCTCTGGGCCAGACTTCACAGAAAGACGACCATAGAGCAGAACATGGAAGCCCTCGCTTGGTATTGCCTAGACCTTCTCCCCCCCCCCTCACTACCCGCCGATCCACTCCCTGCCCTCCTCTGGGAAAGGCTCCTCTCTGTCTGCAAAATTGAAGTGGGTGTCTATAACCCCCAACTCCTGCCAATTTTGTTTTCAAGAAGGTTGTTAATACCTGACAATATTGTACTTGTCTGATTCCATGAGGTGTCTATGACCCCCAACCCGTTTCCTTTCCTTGCCATTCATTTAACTTTTGAGCTGCCAGAAACAAACCCGCCAGACTGACTCACTCAGCTGCAGATTGCAGTCCTGTACAGCGAAACAGTAGCAAGATTCCGCAAACTTGTGCAAACTGATGTAGACAATCCCCCTAATCCAATCTTCTTCTGTTACCTGAGGTAAGTTCGGAACTTCAACGCTCCCACCACTTCTGAGCGCACGACTTGCCCGTTGCTGTTCACAAGGATATTCACGCTCTCAACAACATCCAAGAAGACCTAAGACCCATCCCAGCAGGTATCCGCCAAAACACACATGCGAAGTACGATGTAACGATTAATTACCAGTAGCAAAGACAAGGAAAAGTGGAAGGGAAAAAAAAAAAAAAAAAAAAAAAAAAAAAAGAAAAAAAAAGGAAAAAAAAAAAAAAAAAAAAAAAAAAGGTTCCCTCCAGTGCAACCATGGAGTTAAGAACCGAATGGCTGCCAACAATACAATCAGACAACGGAGGAGCCTGCCGCTACCTCCCCACTGCCGAAAGCAACATATCAGCACCATTTTTATGTCACACACAGGTCACCTCACACTCTTCAAGACTTGTCTCTCCATGATTAAACAATGCCATCCGGAAATGCAGACTGGGTTGTGCATCCCTGCAGAGATCCAATACCGCTCTGCTCGCGTACCCCCTTGAACCATCAGGCCCATCTGCAAATTTGCTAGACAAAGCTAGCGTAAAGGACATTCAGATGGCGATTAGGTCCATTGCAGTCTTCTTCAATCATGCGACAGAGTAGTGCCAGTCTAGTCCAGTGGCATCCTAGAACAACCAGCCTTATATATATAGCACACCACACGACCCAAACAATCACCAATCTGCATACCATTTAAATATACACCAAGAATGGAAGAATGATTTTCAACCTCGGGCTACAACCAAACGCGGGCTGCCTGAAACACGTTATACACTTGAGGAACAAACCCTCAACCACAGCAAACAAATGATGAGCAGCTGCTGCAATGCTGAGTCGTTCCCAGGGTCAGACATTAACAGTAGTCTAAAACTCGACGAATTCTGGCTGCAAATTGAACATTTGGGTGGGTGGCTTAAATCAGAAAAAGACGGACGTCTCGAGTTGTGTAACGTGAAAGATCTGTCACCCCTTTCCATTGGGACAACATGCCAAAGTAACGAAGTACAAGAGTGATCAAGGCTGAAAGCCACAACAATCATGACAAAACAAAAAGGAATCAGAATGGATTCCAAAGAGAAAAGAAATCCTCCGTATGGAAAGAAGCAACAGAAACTGAGGTTTACTGCATGGCTCGATATAGATGAATAAACTTCAACAATGGATGGCCCGATGATTTGATGGGTGGATGGATGGATCAGCGTATGGATGGATGGAAAGGGATGGGTGAATGGATAGACATGCACGGATGGGTAGAGTTGGGCAAATGTGGACGGACGAACACCCTACCTCGTTCTTCTTGTGCCGAATACCTTCACTCCGCCACGAGACAGCATTCGTGACTGCCATCGGCGGCCGTTGCACAACTTCCATTCTGTAAGAGTCAGTTTTAATAAACTCACTCAATATCCTTGCTTCCGTATACTGAGGGTAGCCGAAATCCATCATTTCATCTAAGAGCTCATACTGTTCAAAACAACAAATGCAAAACAACAGAAAAGCTTATTGTCAAGCGGCAGCCTGATCAAAGCCACTGCTGCCCACGTATCTCAACAATGCTTCGCCACAAAACTGACCCATTTCTCATCTTCCCCAGCTTTTCTGCTCTGGCAACGTTAATCTTCGTTGCTTTAGAAAAGACCTGATGTGTAGATGCTGGGCCACAGCTACCACACAACAGGCACTGATTATGAATGCAAACATCTTCCTACGAAAAGAACACCATTATGATTGCTGTGAGATGAGGCAATGCTTGCACTCGATGCAATTGTAGCAACAAAGCATGGGGGCTACCGTCCGGCCCCCGAACATAAGGCATACTAGTTTCATCAAATAGAACGCATAGAACACCTTTTGATTTAACATACATCTGTTCTATTCGAGTGCTAAAGTAGCAGGCATCTCCATCCCATCCTCAACTGCTTGTGCTTTCGCTCATCCTCTTACTTCCCGCCGACCGTGATCTTTGCCCCCCAGTTGGGGACAATGCAATTCAGAAAAACGCACTACTTTCTTGACAGCAAAATATAAAAAAAATGGTTATGTTTGAACTCCAATGCTCTGGAGGACTCTGTTGAATCAAGTGTAGTTGAATTTGGCTCAACCCTGCCTCCCGGCCCCCCACCCCTCTCCCGCTTTTCACCCCTGTCTCCCCTACCTACCCATTCAGCTCGGAAGTAACAAGATTGCCGAGCATACCCTCAGATTATCACGAAAGCTTAGCAGAGCTTATTCACAAGCTGCAAAGGTGAGACCTTCTGTGATTACCATGACGTTGATGTCTTTTTTTTTCACTTTTTTTCCTGGAGACATTGATGGTATTGCAATGACGAACTTCTTCTATTAGCGTTACTATAGTAAAGTTATGTTTGGATTGACACAGCGTAACCTAGGCTTGTACATAAGTTCTTTCTGGATGTTTTTTTTTCCTGCCGGGACAGAAAAGACACCTTGACTCTGATAAAATAAAGACTGCAGCCCGAAGTTTGAGCCAAAGGAAACTCAGGGAACTTCCATCAGGTTGTAGTTGCGACGAAAAAATCCCACTACAAATAGAGGCCTCAACTCTCTTGCTTTCAGAAACGGTTTGATGGACCTTGATCCCTTGAATCATCTTCTATCATCATATTGAAACAGAGCGACTTCGTGCATTGGGAACCAAAAAGAAATTATATGCTTTTGAAATTGACAAACACATACGCATTCCATTTAAACCGCCGGTTCACCTGAAACAAAGTGCAGCTCTTACTGGTGTACACGGCAACAGCTTTTCAATTCCGGCCTGGGCCAGTAGTTAAAGCCGGAGGCCACTTTGAAAAAGTTCACCTCCAGGCTCGCAAGCCTTGTAAGGTAGCTTGGTCAACTTCCGCCAGTGTGAACTGGTGGTTTAATAAAAATGCTCTGGGGAGACTGTGGTTTAATAAAACTGCAAGAAACCCCTGATCAACAAGGGGCACACGAACTAGCATCTGTTAAACATCTGATGGGTAAGTCAAACATCACAAGGTTCGGGGATAATCAGTCACACCTGCAAATGGACCGCAATTGACCAAAAAAGTCACTTTTGACCACAGACGGGCTTGCAAACCACAACTCGCCCTTATCCTGCTACTTCTGCTTCGCAGCATTTCTATATGAAACAACAAATAAAACTATTTGTGATGGATGATTCCCCTTCACTTTTCTCCTTCATAATCTCTCTCTCTCTCTCTCTCTCTCTCTCTCTCTCTCTCTCTCTCTCTCTCTCTCTCTCTCTCTCTCTCTCTCTCTCACCCACCCACCCACCCACACCCAGATTTGCATGTACAGAGAGCCATGTCTACCCTAGGAGGCAGTGTTACCAAACTTACCACAACAACAAAATTGTCTCGCAGCGATTCTTCTTCTAACTCCTCAAAATAGTGTTTGAAGACCTGAGAACAACCGGCACATGATCATGGTCAGTCTGCATCAAATCCCACACAAAGTTCAGAAACTATCTTAGCAGCTGTATACTTACATGAAGAAGAAACACGAAGGCAAAAGAAGACTGGATCCTGTTCGTTCGATACTATGCAGAAGCCAAGAGAAACACTGCAGACATTGACACCCGACCAGCACTGGAAATTGCCTACGTCATTACCACAGAATGGTCAAACTTGTGTTTTAGCTAGTTTTCTTCTATTGCAGCCAATGGGATTCGACCCCAGCACCTGTAGGACTGGAGATTGTGTTGTCACTTGTTGGCATCCCCAGCGCCTGAACCCAAGCCTGCATCGAGTCCAGAATAGTCGTCTCACACTGGGAGCCCTCTCCCGGGGGAAGTACCGTCTGACTGTGAGTAGCGAGTTTCGACTTTCGGTCATTTTTGGGAAGACAAGGAAGTGGGGACGCAATTTTGTTCATCACCAGGCACATGCGAGATGAGGGAGATGCCACAGCTGCACACGGCTATCAGTAAATTGCATCATTTAGCTTCCCATTTGTTAGATCTTGCTCAGGGCACTCTGGCTTGAGCCGCTGCTGCAGTCCGCGTACTGACCGCTGAAAGGCAGAGCCTTGAGCCACTGATGCACTTGAAGAAGAAGGCCGGTAATGGCCACCAGCAGACCTGCAAGCTATGCCATCAGGCAAGTGACCGGCTCTGCTACACCTCTTCTATTTCCACGCAGTGCTACGCTGCTCTAACACTGGGCTGCCTCGCTCTTCAATGGACCAGCCTCCTGGGCTACTGGACCTTGCTACCTGAGTTGCACTTCACCGAGGTGCTACTCCCTCTGCCCTCTCAATCGAGCTGTTCGATTGATCTGGGATCCACCGGTCCAGATGGGAGGCTGTGTGGCCAAACTCCCACGCTCAGTCACAAAACATTTGGCCTGGCCTCCAACCCATGTCCAGGTCCACATGCTGCATCAGCAGCTGACCCTCCTACTTCTATTCAGTGCTCACTCCACCCTACCACTGGGTGGCTCCACTCGCCAATCCTGCAGCCTGTCGGCAATGCATGAATGAACCAACCTCCCAGGCTACTGGACCCAGCTCCCTGAGTAGTAGCATTGGTACGAGGTGCTACTCCGTCCGCCCTCTCAGGACGCAGACAAAACTGGCCAAGCCATGAAACGGAATCCCTCAGAAGTCCAAACAGGAGAAACCTGTGCCCATTTGGGCAAAAACTGAATGAGACAATCTCGACCACAACAACACAATCCGGCACAGGACAAAACCGAACTGACACCAAGGTCAATTTGGCATGTGGTTTTACTGGCTAGATCACAAATCCAGGTAGTCCAAACAGGAGAAACCTGTGCCCATTTGGGCGAAAACTGAATGAGGCAATCTCRACCACAACAACACAATCCGGCACAGGACAAAACCGAACTGACACCCAGGTCAATTTGGCATGTGGTTTTACTGGCTAGATCGCAAATCCAGCTCTGCTCAGGTTTTTTAGCATACCAGAGATAGGTGCTCTGAAATACATCAAACGAGCTCAGAACAGACAAAACATCCACACGCCTGCCTGAGAACTCACCTGCGTAGAGCCCTCCTGCTGGCTCAGGCCCTCTCAGCGGATCACAAAAGAGGCCACGCAGACAAGCGGCCTGCCCAAAAGAATGGCAGGGTGTCTCAGACCCGGTGTGGGATGCCATCAAGTTCAAGCAATTATCTGTTTGATAACATCATATGATAGAATCCACAGATTCTAAAACTGGTACCGGAGCTGGTGACGATCATGTCATGTTGACTACCAGGCTGAAAAGCATGACTGCAATCAATAAATTTCTCTTCGTAGATCATGAATGGATTCACGCTGTAAGCTTTCCCAGTCCCAGTTCTAGGGTCCCTAGTTACCACAGTCCAGGCCCCAATTGTTTAGAGTCTTAGGGCCTGTGGGATCAGACACTGTAGGTCGGTAGGCTACAGTACCGTACAGTACCAGTAGGAGCACGTCAAGTCCCCAAAA